CCTAAAGTCTATATATATGTGGCTATCCTCTTGTGAATATTCATACATCCAAAACCCTAAGGTTTGTAACATGGTATCAAAGCCTTGCACATAAATATATATATATATATATATATATATATATATATATTTCCGATCTCACCTCCCACACCAATCAAATCGCCGCCTCGAGACCGACCTTCCGGCGAAGTTTCGCCGTCAGAAGCCGCGCGTGTGAGTCACACGCGTCGCCGGAAGTTGCTGCCGTCAATCCCATGCGCCGGCGCGTGAGGGCGCGTGGTTGGCCGGAATTTTTTCCGACGACCATCCGTGAACTCGGAATTTGGTGCACGTGCTGCTAGTGTTCTTTGTTTTGTGTTTTGGGAGGTTTTGGTGTTCGTTTTGTGCATTTTTAGATCCGTCATTCTTCGAGGTTAGGGTTTTTGTACTCTAATCTATCCGGGCCGTCGTCAATTTCTATTTTTTTGTTGTCACTCGCCTATCGTGTGCCTCAACGCTGCCCGTCGCAGCGTTTTGATTCATGCGTCGTCGCGGCTTGTTGCTACATATTTGTCAAATCATGTCGCAACTTCATGGAATTGCTATCAATATTACTCTTGATGGTCAGAATTATCGGGAGTGGGCTTTCTCGGTTGAAACAGTGTTGAGGGGTTACGGTTTGGCTTTTCACTTGACTGATCAAGGACCCGAAAGAAAGGCCGATAATAGCAATGCTGCCGAAATCAAAATAGGAGATCAATGATGGAAAAGTGATGGCTGCCATCGTCAACAGTGTCAAGCAGTCCATGATTATGACCTTTCTTCATTTCGGACAACCAAAGAAATGTGGTCCTATTTGCAGCAGTGCTATGTTCAGGATAGTGGTGCTCTCTTACACACTCTTATGCAACAAATTCACGTGATTGAACAGAACTCCATGTCCATTGATGAATATTGCTCTGCTTTTGATCATTTGATGGGACCATTGATCTCTATGGTACCTCAGTGCTCGGCGGAGGAGTGTTCAGCACATAAATTTGTTGAGAAGTTCTTTATTTATCGCTTTGTCATGGGAGTCAGAGAAGAATTTGAGTCCATTCGTACACAGTTTCTTCATAACTCGTCTACTCTGACCATGGCACAAGCATTAGCTGAATTGATTGCTGAAGAGACTCGTCTCCATTCTCTGTCAGTTGCTCCGCCATCTATATCGCGGAGTGTTTTGGCAGCTCCTCAAAGGAAATTTTCTCAACGACTTAGTGCACCCAGAGGTGACTCTCTAGAACCTTGTAAGCATTGTGGGAAGACCGGTCACAGTCACGAGAATTGTTTTACTCAGCATCCAAAAAAGTTGGCTGAGTATCGTGCGCGTCGTGCTGCTCGGGCTCGCGGTACGACTTCTGCTACAAAGAGGTCTGTTTCTGTCGTTGCTGCCTCTCCTGTCCATGCTCCTCAGTCTTGGGTCCTCGATTCTGGAGCATCTTTTCATGTGACATCTGATCACTCCCAGTTGGTTGCCTGCAAGGCGGTCCCTGATGGTGCTGTCAGACAGCTGATGGCACTTCTTGCCATATCACTCATGAGGGTTCTCTCTGCAATTCACGTTTTTCAGTGCCTAATATCTCTTATGTTCCTAAATTATCTATGAATCTTCTTTCCGTTGGTCAGGTGACTAATCAAAACTGTTTTGTTGGATTTGATGATTCATCTTGTTTTATTCAGGATCATCGAAACTGTGATTGGGACTGGCCATCGCCGTAAAGGTTCTCCGAGCCTCTACGTGTTAGACACTTTACATTTTCCCTCTTCCACTGGTTCTACCGCTCGTGTGTCATCCATTGCCTCGTCTTCCACCTCATCTTTTGCCAAGTGGCATCATCGTCTTGGTCATTTGAGTGGGTCTCGTTTGTCTACTTTGATTAGTACTGGTTGTTTAGGTCGTACATCTATCGCGTATAGTTTTCATTGTAACAAGCTCGGAAAATAGCTGCAACTCCCATATCCTACTAGTATTTCTCATTCTACTAGACCTTTTGATCTTATTCACTCTGATGTATGAGGTCCGTCCCCTTTTCCTACAAAAGGTGGCAATAAATACTATGTTCTTTTTATTGATGATCATTCTCGATATACTTGGGTTTATTTTATGAAACATCGTTCTCAGTTTTGTTTCATTTATAAAGATTTTGATCGCATGGTTCATACTCAGTTTTCTACTCCGATTTGAGTTTTTCGTTCTGATTCTGGTGGTGAGTATATGTCTAACAATTTTCGTCAATTTTTGACTTCTGAGGGCACTCTTGCCCAGCTCTTCTGTCCTGGTGTACATGCACAGAATGGTGTTGCAGAAATAAAACACCGCCATCTCATTGAGACTGCTAGAACCCTTCTAATTGCCTCATTTGTTCTTTCTCATTTTTGGGGACAAGCTGTGTCTACAGCTGTTTATCTTATTAACCGACAGCCGTCTTCCAAACTGTCTGGTAAGTGTCCTGGTGAGGTTCTTTTTGGTATTCCCCTAGCTATGATCATCTTCGGGTTTTCGGATGTACATGCTATGTATTGCTTGCTCCTCGTGAGAGCACTAAAATGACTGCTCAGTCGGTTGAGTGCGTCTTTTTGGGATATAGTTCTGAGTATAAGGGTTATCGTTGTTATGATTCTTTCGCTCGCCGCATGCATATATCTCGTGATGTAACTTTTGTCGAGGATCGTCCTTTCTTTTATAACCCATCCACAACTTCTTCTTCTTCTTCAGAGTCTACGTCATTTTTATGTCTTCCTCATATTTCTTTTCTTGATGATGATGTCCCTGTCTCTTCTCCATCATCCACTCATGATGAGCTTGCAATACCTGATTTTGATGTGCCTCCACCATATAAACAACACATCACACAAGTCTATACTCGTCGTTCCAAAGGTCACACACGCTTCCGCCTCATTCTACTCCAATGGCCAGTCCTGATGCTCTCGTCCTAGATGATTCTGTTGATTCTGGTGTGTCACATGCCATTCCTGAAGAATCTGAGGTTGGTCAGAGATATAATTTACATGATCGTGCTACTATTGTGCCTCATGATAAGTTGGGCTTTCCACGTGCGGGTGCTATTATTGATGAGCCCTCAACCTATCAGGAAGCTTCGAGTATTCCAGAGTGGCAACTAGCTATGTCAGAGGAACTTGCTGCCCTTGATCGTACTGGCACTTGGGATCTTGTTCCGTTACCGTCGCATGCCGTGCCTATCACCTGGAAGTGGGTCTTTATGATTAAGACCAAGTCAGATGGTTCCATTGAGAGATATAAATCTCGTCTTGTTGCTAGAGGCTTTCAGCAGACTCAGGGGCGAGATTATGATGAGACTTTTGCTCCCGTTGCTCACATGACTTCTCTTCGTACTTTAATTGCAGTGGCCGCTACTCGTTCCTGGACCATATCTCAGATGGATGTGAAGAATGCTTTCCTTCATGGTGATTTTCATGAGGAAGTTTATATGCAGCCACCACCGGGTGTTGATGCCCCCTCTGGACATGTTTGTCGTCTTCGTCGCGCCTTATATAGTCTCAAACAGGCTCTTCGTGCTTGGTTTGAGCGTTTTGTCTCTGTCATACGGGCTGCTGGTTTCTCCCCTAGTGATCATGATCCTGCATTGTTTATTCATCTCTCTTCACATGGGTGTACTCTACTTCTTCCATATGTTGATTACGGGAGATGATGAAGAGCATATTTCCCATGTCAATTAACAACTTGGTCAACAATTTCAGATGTCTGATTTGGGTCCTCTTAGCTATTTTTTGGGCATTGAGGTGATGCATTCTCGGGCTATTACCTTTCTCAGTCCAAATACATACAGGACCTTCTTGTTCGTTCCGATATTACTGATAATCGGACAGCGGTTACACCTATGGATCTTCACTTACAGCTTCGTCCTATTGATGGTACTCCTCTTGAGGATCCCTATCGCTATCGCCATATTGTAGGAAGTCTTGTTTATCTTACTGTTACCAGGCCTGACATTGCTCACGCAGTTCATATATTGAGTCAATTTGTGAGTGCTCCTACTTTAGTTCATTTTGGGCATTTGCTTCGCGTGCTACGATACTTAAGGGGAACATCATCTCAGTGTTTATTTTATGCTCGTGATAGTCCGCTTCAACTTCATGCTTACTCGGATTCTACTTGGGCAAGTAATCCAACTTATCGTCGTTCTGTCACTGGTTATTGCATTTTTCTTGGTTCTTCTCCCCTTACATGGAAGTCCAAGAAGCAGGCAGCTGTATCTTGATCTAGTACAGAGGCCGAACTTCGAGCACTTGCTACTACCACTTCAGAAATTATATGGCTTCGATGGTTGTTAGCCGATTTTGGTATTCCATGTGATGATCCTACGCCTCTTCTTTGCGATAATACTGGAGCAATTCAAATTGCCAATGATCCAGTAAAGCATGAACTTACAAAACACATTGGTGTTGATGCTTCCTTTACCCGATCTCACTATCATCAGAAAATAATTATTCTTCAGTATGTGCCATCAGAACTGCAAGTGGCTGATTTTTTCACCAAAGCACAAACTATATTAATAATGTCGCTTAAAAAAGCGTCATGCATTGGGATTTACTTACGCTAAAATTTTATGTCACAACTTGTAATAATAATGACGCGCTAAAAAAAAGAGTCACTCATTGAAAATAACTTACAGTGACATATCGTGTCACTAAATTATGTACTAACGACGCACTTTTGAAAAAGTGTCACCCATTGAAGATTACCTACGCATTTAGGTTGAGTCACAAATAAATTTGTGACATCAAATTTAACAACGCAAGTGGTGACACTTTTGCAAGTGTAGGTAAATTTATTTGTGACACTAATAAATATCAATAAATAAATAAAGCGTCTCTAAATGTAGTTTTTATCGTAGTATACACATAATTCCTTATTCATCATAATGTATACACATACAAATATCCAAACAAATATAATGACAAATATATTACACACTACTAATTCATAATGTTAAATTTCAGTTTTGATGATCACTTGGCCTGTAAAGTTCCAATGTACGATCATTCATCGGTTGAATTGGTCTAGCATTTGTTTCAGAATCCTGCATAAATAAATACCATAATTTTATGACATCGATAGTTAAGAGCTATAATAAAGAAAAAAAATTCAAGAAAAATAAAATAAACATGTCAATTTATGGGATGACTTACATCATGGACAGCGTTGCGAATCAATTCGACTTGTTCCCGGCTTACAGTCCTCACCTAGTAAAATGAATAAAAATGAAATTACATTGTTGAGAATATTTTATGTTATATTTTTAAGTAACTTAATTAAAAATAAATAAATTATAAGTTGGATGTTTAATCACCTTTCTCACAATTGTCCAAAGAACATTTTCGTTGCAGGGCGGAGTTGTAAGTGAACCAACGTACCGATAATATTTTCTACTGCCAAATTTTATGTGCTCAGGATCAATAATTCCAACAGCTCTCTCTACATCTCTTGTCTCAACAAGGGCATTTAAGTGATGTTTCATCTATAGCATTAAACAAATAAATAATCGTTACTGAAAAAATTAAAATAATCGTTACTGCCAAATTTTATGTACGAAATGTACGGGTAAGAGATATTAATCAATATTTATAAATTAAAATACTAATTAAAATATAAAATCTTTATGTAATACAATTTACCTATATTAATTTATAGAAAATGTCATATGAAATATAATTTTTCAAAATTACATAAAACATGTCTATTTAAAATTAGTACGCAACTCATATGTTGCACGTAATTGATAATAAATTTCATTATATTCATAAATTTTATTTTAAATTTTTTATTCATAAATTTAATTTGACTACAATGTGATTCTATATAAAAATTATTTTGGTAAAATTTTATCATATATTTAAAAATCTATGTAAATAATAAGTATAATTATAAAACTTATATTGCTCTATTAATTATAAAGATTTTATTTTCGTATAAACTATCCAAATTAATCAGAGCTTTTTCTATTGAAAAAATATCCATACACTCATATTATATCAAAATATCAGTTCATATTATTTTGTCAGAGTTATGGTAATTTTATTATGTTAATTTCATACAAATTGAAACCCACGCCTAAAAATTAATATATTGGCATGCGCATTACAGATAAGAGTACACCATATATTGATTAAGTTTTCAATAATTTTTCTACCAAAAAACAGTCATCAAATAACCTAAATGATTTGTTCACTTTATATCATATATTGACTGATTTATTTCCTATAGAAACAACCATCAATACCAAAAATAAATTCATCCACTTTATACCATATATTAATTAATTCACATGATTTGAGTAATTAAGGTATCTTAAAATATGGCTTAATTACTTTCTTAAATAATTAGCCGCAATTTCTATAAGTGATCATTAGATATATACCATAAATTGTTAAATTATTTTCCCAAAATAGTAAATAGATTTTTTTTTAGGGAAATAGTTACTATTTAAAAAATAATCAAACCTTTTTATATAGACTAGTACAAATCCCGTGCGATTCACGGGTAAGAAATATTCGCTAATATTTATAAATTAAAAATGCTCATGAAATAAAATTTATAATTTAAAAATATGAAATCAATATGTAATATAATTTACCTATAATATAACTTATATGAAATTTAAATTGTGAAAAATTACATAAAACATGTCTATTTAAAATTTTTACACGACCCGTACGGTGCAAGTAACTGATAATATTTTACATAATATATATTTCAAAATAAGTGATATTTTACAATTTTATTCAGAAATTCGATTTGACTACAATGAGATTCAAGTAAATACAAACAATTATATATATATATTGATGTCATTTGTTACCATAAGCGGGTATATTAGATCAATATATAGTATACCAAAATAATTCGATTTCATATTTTATCGATAAAATACAAAAGTTGATATTCAATTTTACCACAAAATTAATTTCCCAGCATACAAAATAAAATCGAGACCCACATTTTTTATAGATAAAAATAAAAAATATCCAAAAAAGTAATTATTAAAAATAATTAAATAAATATTGTCATTAACACAATTTTACAATAATTTTATAAAAAATATAATTGAATAAATCAACAAAATTTACACGATCTGTGTAATTAGGCTATCTAAAAAATGTAAATTTTTATGGTCTAATTTTTTCTTAATTACCCCACTATTTGAGTAATTAAATGTACAAAAAAATAAATAACATTTATTATATAATATTTAAATAAAAATTTTCATTACCACAATATTTTTAGAACAGTTTTTTGCAAATCACATAATTGATTATTGTTGTCGATATTTTCATAATTGTAGTAATTATTTGTAGATTGAATAAATTAGTCGAATTTACAAAATTTACATAATTAAGGTATATTAAAAATGCATTCAACAACATAATTACACAAAAAATATATAACATTTATTAAATAATAAATTACACAATTTAGTTGGAATTTTTTACCAAATCACAAAATTGATATTGCAGCCGAAATTCTCATATTTGGGTAAATCAGCCAAAATTTCCATAAGTGATTATTTGAAATATACCATAAATTGTTAAATTAAATTTTCGAAATAGTAAATAGATATTTTTTGGAAGAAAATATTTACTATTTAAAAACTAATCAAACTTTTATATATATATATATAGGGAGTGGTTCAAATAAAAACTAGTCCTAGTGTGAGAACCGTGAGAACCGTATTTGATGCTATTTTTTATTGTGTATGATGCTATTTTTAATATTACATGGTGCTATCATTTTCACAAATGCTAATATAAATTGTGTTGCTATTTTTATGAAAATAGATCCATTTTAAAAATAGCACTAAAACACAATCAATCATAGCACTACCTACAACTATAAATAGCGGTTCTCACGGTTCTCACGCTATGACTTAGTTCTCATTTGAACCAAATCCTATATATATATATATATATATATATATATATATATATATATATATATATATATATATATATATATATATATATATATATATATATATATATATATATATATATATATATATATATATATATATATATATATATATATATATATATATATATATATATATATATATATATATATATATATATATATATATATATATATATATATATATATATATATATATATATATATATATATATATATATATATATATATATATATATATATATATATATATATATATATATATATATATATATATATATATATATATATATATATATATATATATATATATATATATATATATATATATATATATATATATATATATATATAGATATAGATTAAACAAAAATTTTAGCAAACATATATAATTTGTAACTACCATGGTCAAGAAAGAGTTGGGACGTCCGATTTTGTACATGACTCCAATTACGGCAGTCTGATTATCAATGCTCCGATGAACTAGATGGATCTCCATATCAAACCTATTAGTAAAAGTAATTTCATTATTACATTCGTTTAACTTATTTGAGTAATATAAAGAAAAAAGAAAAAAGAAAAAAGAAAAAGAGAGTACCTCCTGCCATTAATAGTGTGCTCAGAAGGAGAATGCCAATGGCACTGCTGAAGTTGATACACAATTCCATTGATCTCAATGTGCCCAGCTTCATAACCCCATCTTAGCTGTCACCATATTATGCTGAGTTAATAATGAATGATCAATTACCTTATTATTGTTGAAAGATTATGCCAACAATATTATTAATGTCTTGTGACATATGAGACTAATATACATCGTGGCCTAATTAAAGGATATATATACATATACACATGCATAAATTGGATATATAAATGTAATATAAAGTGTATTGAATGGTATGTAGTGTAAATTTCTCTAAATTTAAGCATATTATTGTGAGGAAAGGGTATTTATTACTTACCATCATATCGTGACCTCGATTGATAAGAGTGGCATTTGAGGGCAAATAAGTCCTATCGAGTAGGCCCAAATGGGACACTATGTTAACCCTTTGATTGCTCAAATCAATTGGAGATTGCATATTTCCAGAACCACAGTTACTCCATTCTGGACGTATTTCTCCCCAGCGTGCAGGCCCAATATCACTATCTTCTTCATAACTGAACTCATGCTCATCATCTACAAAAAAAATAATAATAATAATAATAATAATAAATCAATTAATTAATTTTAAATAGCACCATTAAGGAAAATTAATACAACTTATGTCATAAGCTACTTTAGGTAGCTTTTCAAAGAAAGCTAGTTTAATTTTTTATTTCAGCTAACTTATCAGTTAATTTTACCAAACACTTTTATCATATAAGATAGCTTTTTAGCAATAAGTCATAAGCTATAAGCTCAAAAATTACAAATAAGCTTTAAGCTAGCTTATCAACTAGTTTTACCAAACATAACCTAGTTGATAAATTAACTTATACTTAGCTTATCATTTAGTTTTATTAAACATAACCTAAGTAAACACAAAAATGCTTGACAAAAGCTTAAGACTATGTTTGGTAAAATTAGCTGATAGCTGATAAATTAGCTTATAATTTATCAGTAATTTTCGAGCTTATAGCTTATGACTTATAGTTGAAAAACTAGCTTATATGATAAAAGTGTTTGGTAAAATTAGTTGATAAGATAGCTGAAATAAAAATTTCAATGAGCTTATTTGAAAAGCTATCAAAAGAAGCTTATAAGATAAACTCGAGATTTTTAAAAAAGCTCGTCCTATCAAATGAAACTTATTTAAATAAAGAAAACTTATAAGCTAATCAAAATAAACTAGCTTATTTGTCTACCAAACATAGCCTAATTAAGCACAAACGAAAACGAAGAAAAATAATTGAGCTATTTTGCATGGTGAAAACTACCGAGTTCTTGTGCTCTCGTTAGGCATGCAAGAAGAACAAAAATAAATAATAAATAACACTGCAATAAAGCTGCAAGTTTCATGGTCATTTTCAAATGAGCTTCTGCAAAATATTGTTTTTGTTTGTGAAAAATGAATTAGTTGAGGGGTTAATGAAATGATGGGGCAGTTTATATAGAAATTATAGCTAACAACTAAGTCTTAATCAGTTAATTTAGTTAATTAATTTTAATGAATGTTCTCATTTTCATGAATTGATCGTGGTGAAAAATGAAAATGAAGTGGTTGATTTTGATCGGGAATTTCGTGCTCCAAATGTCAATATAGGGCAGCCCAAAATAGTTAAAAACATAGGATGAAAATATTAAATATAGATGTTGACCCAGTTTTGACGGGTAATTTAATTTTCTCATGACTGCATATTTTGACTCTCACCATCTTTGTGTTCTGGAAGAAAGAAAAAGGTTAGCTGCCCTGACATGACATGTATCGAAGTCAAAGGTGACCAATTTTCATTGAAAAGAAAACTACCTGAAAGAAAAGTTTTAGGACCCGCGTGTGTTGATTTTCCAATTCCCCATTTTATGTTGTGTATTGTATTTGTGATAAAATTGGCCTACCCTTTCTTAAAAAAAAAAAAATATTATTCTAAAAAAAAAATATGAAAGAATTTATAAACGATTGACTAAAATTGTTATATCCAATTCGTTTGAAATTTTAAGTGATATTTTAAAATTTTTTAAAATTCAATTTTTTTTTTTTAAGATTTTCTTATTTAGCTAAAAACTTTTGACAATTTTATGTTTCAATGTATGATTTGGTATGAGAATTCATATATGCATTTTATCTTCGAACTTAAATCTTAAAAAGTCCACACGAATCAAAGTGATAAATATGTTGAATGCTTCATCAGTTTTTAAGATCTTGTGTATTCTCAAATTAACTAGTAAGCACCCCCTGGATGCACAGACGAGTTTGTACTTTAAAATTATTTTCTAAAACTTTATTTTAACAATATATTAGTCTGTTCAGTCGTTTATATTAATATAAATAATTTTTTAACATAAATATTTATGTGCTAATACAAGAAAATTAATTTTACTTATTTTTTGTCATCATAATACCTAAATATTAATTTATTCTAAAATATATTATAATATAAAGTCATTATTATTATTTATAACACTTATAAAAGTAGTATTATATATATATATATATGTAATGATATATATATTGAATGTTCATTAAATATTATTTGTTGATGTATTTAATTTAATAATATACAAATAAATTTAAAATAAATATTGGGCCACATATGCATTCTATTCAATTTTAAGAATTTATCATATCACATAACAATTAAAATCAAAATTATATATATTATGTGTGTGTGTGTGTGTGAATTATATGTATATAAAGACCCAGAGAGATATTTTCAAAATTAAGATAACATGAAAATGTCTGTGCATGTGTTACAAATGCGATTATATGAAAGTTCACATAAGATGAAATGTATCCAGACTCCAGATATACCCGTGTAAGATTATTTCATTTAAATGTTTGAAATTTAATTTTTTAAAAAATTTTCAAAAATACATTTATGCGGGATATTTCCAAAATTTTCAAAAAAGATTACTATGTTTAGTAAATACTTAGGCGGAAATTCTAATTATTTTTAGTTACTATGTCAGGCAGGGACGGATCAAGAAATTTACATGAGTGGGTTCTTTGAACTAACCATTTGAACTGTTAGAATTATAAAATAAAAAAATAAGTTGCGATTGTATATAAAACTTTTTCAAAAATCTCATCTCATCTGAAAATAGAGATGAAAAAGAAAAGAAGAAAAATGAGATAAATTTGAAGTTGTTATTAAATAGATGATAAAAATGTAGAGATTACAATTGATGTGATTTAATGAAAGGTTAGTGAATTAATAATATTTTATTAAAAGTATAAAATAATAATAACATATTATGTTTTAATTGTCTTATTTGTAGAGAAAAATGTGAAACAATATAAATAATATTTTTAGGATAATATTTATTTTTTTAGTTTCAACAAAATAAATTATGATTGAAGGAAAAGAGTTGTAAAAAAAAATCATATATCTAATCGATGTTTCTTTTTTATTTTCTTTTATATTTTAAAATAGATTAAATATTAAAGTCATAAATTTAGTTTAAAGTGGTCTGTGGAAATTTATTTGATTATTTTAATTATTAACTAGCTAAACATCAAATAAACCATTGAATTAACACAAATAAGAAAGATTTTGATTTGTTCTCCTTACTAACTAATAAACAATTATATATAGAGTTCAAATGTAACAAAAATAGGATAAATAGTGTTGATTTTAAAATAAAAATAAATGACAAATAATTATTGATGAAAAAATAAAATTCATTTTATAATTTGGGAGAGACTTCCCAAATACATCTAAACTAGGTAAGTTAATTCCTTGATTGGGGAGAGTTTTCCGAAGTACTCTTTAATTTTTTTTCTTAAAATCCAGTGTGGGCTTAGGCTCACACTGGTCCTTTAGTGGATCCGCCACTGATATCAAGGTTTTTTGGATTGTCTCTTTATATAATAATATATAGATATTTCAAGACATTCTAAGATTTTGTAAATTCACAACTGAATATCTTTAGAAAATACAAATTAAACAAATAAATCTTCAAGTCTTTAATATAATTTGGGTTACTTATATAAATGGTACGCATGCACGTATTATTATTACATTTGGCTCATTTTGTTGGCATTTTAATCATAAATATATAGCACAATATATTATGATAAAATTTAGAATTTGTATCTTTTTTTATTAATTTTTACAATATTAATTAGTAAATATTAATAATAAAAGGAAAATTTTCCTAAACGACACTACCTTGTGGTATTTTTCAATTTAATTCATTATGTTGGTATTTTGTTTGCATGTGGGTATGAGAGCAAGCAAACACATTCCCAACTTGCGAATAAATCTGGCGAAGTCACAACCACCGAGGGGCTTAGTGAAAAGGTCTACCGACAGAGTGGAAGAACTGATGTAGCAACATTATTGTCGCACCAGAGACTGATAAGAAGAAGAATGTGGAGAGAAAGATCTATGGACAAGTAGGAGAGCCATTGTAGCTCACAAGCTGTAGCGACCATTGATTGATACTCAGCCTCGAGAGACGATCGAGACACAATTTTATGCTTTTTAGTCTTCCAAGATATAAAGGAGTCTCCATAAAAAAACACGGTAACCTGTCAAAGACTTCCTTGCGAGAGTACAACTTCCCAATTTGCATCACAAAAAGCTTCAAGAGTGTTTGCAGTTGTAGTAGCATAGTATAATCCTAAGGAAATTGTTCCTTTAAAATATCTCACTAGATGTGTAGCAGCTGACCAATGAGCATGTGTTGGTGCTTGTACAAATTAACTAAGCTGATGGACTCCATATGAAATGTCCGGCCTAGACAAAAACATCCTCCCTATGAGTCTTCTATACGAGCCAGGATCTGGAAGGAGAGTTATCTCTTGACATGAGAGATTAAGGCCTTGTGGAAATGGAGTGAGCACATTTTTGGAGTCCAGAAGTCCTAAGTCTGTAACAGTGTCCAAAATATATCTCTGTCGACTTAGGAAAGTCCCTTTGCTAGTTTTCTGAATCTCATAACCTAAAAAATACTTAGCACAACCATGATCTTTAATTGTAAAGAGGCCATGTAAATATATCTTGAGGTGATCAATATCAACCAAGTAATTTCCTGTAACTAGAACATCATGTGTCGATTGTACAAATCCATAGGCAAGCAATTTATCACAAAATTCGATGTTCCATTGTCTAGAAGCTTGCTTGAGCCCAAAAAGGCTTCTCTTTAGCAAACAAACTTGATCTTTATTAGCCTTCAAATATCCCTTTGGAGTTGACATGTATACTTCCTCATACAAGTATCCATGTAGAAAGGCATTATTAATGTCTATATGATGGATATCTCAGTCGTCCTTTGTTGCCATTGCTATTAAAAACCTCACTGAAACCAGTTTGGTTACAGGTGAAAAGCTCTCTTGAAAATACACTCCTTCCCTTTTCAAGTAATCCTTAGCAACCAACCTTGCGTTATACTTGTCAATACTCCCATCCGGATTCCTCTTGATCTTGTACACCCATTTGGATCCTATAGCCCTTTTTTCAGATGGCAAACTGGTAAGTGTCTAAGTGTCATTTAACTCAAATTCATCCAATTCTTTCTTCATGGATTTAGTCC